TCCCCAATGAGATGGATTGGCCAGGTGGCAGCATTGATGGACTCAAGTGTGGCAACAGTAATGAGGTTGGCCCAGGATCGGGCAGTGTTTCGTTCGGCTGTGCATAAGGTCATTATGAGTTGGTGCCGACTTGACCGCACCTAACAACAACAAGACAATCTTTATGGCAGATTCCTCGTGTGGCACTGTAGGACAAGCACTGGACTGCTAACCTCAAGGTTGAAAGTTCAAATTCAGCAGCCACTCCTTGGAAATTCGCTATAAGTCAGAATCGACTGGATGGTACTGACAGCAGACCACGACACCTTTCTCCTGCCGAGTGCCTGCTGGTTCTTTTGTTAGTAACTAACACTACAAGAAAGGAGCTCTGGTAGCGTAGTGCTTATGAATCAGGCTGCGAACTGCAAGGTCAGCAGTTCGAAGCTACCAGCTGCTCTGCAGGAGAAAGATGAGGCTTTCTGCTCCCGTAAAGATTTACAGCCTCAGAAACCCTGTTGAGGGTCGCTATGGGTCAGAACCGACTCGATGGCACTTAACAACAACAACAACACTACAAGAGCTCGTATAAAATTCTTAAAATACTGTTTTTGGCAGGTAGTAAATATCTGAATTACAAAGTGTTAGCTACTAGGAGTTGTGTAGGTAGAGTTGCTACACATGTGTCTCAAAATCAGACAGACACTATTTACAGAGCGCTTACAATGAACCGCTTCCAATTGGTACTGAGGGAGGCATTGGGAGAGACTAGACAAGCAGATATGGTCCCTCCACACACATAGCTTTGCTTCAGATTATGAAAAAAAGGGAAGAGGGTGTTAACTAAAATAATAGGAGATGGTGATTATTCTAAAAATAAATTAATAAGAGACTGACAGAAAACGTGTTAGGAATTCTTTCTTTCTTTAGCTAGTGGTCAAGGAAAGTAAGTCTCTGTTAGAAAGCATATTTAAAATGGAGGCTTCAAAGAGAGGAATCAGCTATGTAATGGGAATGGAATGGGATTTCAGGTAGGTAAAATAGCATGTGCAAATGTCCTGAGGCGGAAAATAAATTGTTACCTTGGAGGAAGTGGTGGCCCAGAGTGGCTGGAGAATATATATATTGTTGTTAAGTGCTGTCGAGTTGGTTCTGACCCATAGCAACCCTGTATGGGACTACTCCCAACCTTGCAGTTCAAACGGCTTTGCAGTCTGGCGCATTAACCCACAGCGAGAGTATGTTTAAGGAGGGAGAATCCTGACAAATGTAATTGAGGAACGAGCAGGGCCTGACCCATACAGGCCTCAGAGGCTATGCTCACTCTGTCTGCTGTAACAAGTTAGTTACCAAAGAGTCTTAAGAAGTGGAAGGGATGATTTGCTTTATGCTTTTGAAAGACCACGTTTGCTGCTTTGTATGTAGGTGTCTGGACTACTAAAATCACGTATACCAATCAACCCATGGCTCCAAAAAGTACCTATTATCTATCAGTCTATATGACTCTGACTATAGTTAGTTATGGAGTCCTGGTAAGGAGATAAGCACTGGACTGAAAGGTCGGTTTGAACCACAAGGTCAGCAGTTCAAACTCACCAGTCGCTCCTCAGAAACCCTCCACAGGGTCGCTATGAGTCAAAACTGAATCAACGGCAGTTAACAACAACAATAATATAATTAGTTAGATGTTGTTAGTTGCCATCAAGTTGACGCTGACTGATGGCTACCTCTGTATAATTATGTTGTTCTTCGGTGTTGTCTAGTTGATTCTGATTCAGAGTGTCCCCATGTGACAGAGTTAGAATTTCCTCATTGGGTTTTCTTACCTTTAATCTTTACTGAAGCAGATTAGCAAATCTACATTTTGATCTTCTCTATGAAACGTCTTCTTGTTGCTTACTGTTACGTCATTGACGACTCGTGGCAACATCATGTATACAGAGAATATCTTCATCTGAACTTCATCTGCACTCCACAAGGTTTTCAGGACTCCTGGTGTGGCACTGTAGGATCAGTACTGGACTGTGAACCACAAGGTTGGCAGTTCAAACCCACTAGCTGCTCCGTGAGAATCCTATACAGGGTCGCTATGAGTCAGAACTGACTAGAAGGCACTTAACAACAACAACAATAAGGTTTTCAAGGCAGTGACCTTTTGGAAGCAAATTGCCAAGCCTTACTTCCTAGATGCCTCTGAGTGGTTTGCACTGCCAACGTTCTGGTTAGTAATCCACCATTCAACCATTTTTGTCACTCAGGAATCTATATAACAATTAAATATTTCAAAACATTCTATCATTTCATTTCTGCACAAAAATGGACTATTTTTCAGGTACTTGTACCCCTCTTTGAAGAAGACAATTGTAGAGAAAGGATGTGTTGTTAAGTGCCATCGGGTTGGTGTTGGCTCAGAGTTACCCTGGAGAAATGCTGGAGCTGAGCAATTGCAGATTAGAACAAACAGGAAGGAGGCTATTGGGCTAGTGAGAATGAGGAATGATAGCAGTTTAGAGCAGAGTGGTTTTAGACGAGATTTGAGGAATGTCTGCATATAAGACCCAGATTCTAGATACACAATTAAAGAGTCCTTAGCGCTGTGGGCTAAGGTGTCAGACTGCAAAGTCGTTTGAACTGCGAGGTCAGTGGTTCAATCTCACCAGCTTCTCCTTGGAAACCCTGTACAGGGTTGCTATGGGTCAGAATCGACTCAATGGCACTTAACAACAATAGGAATTTCAAAGCTATACTCTGATTGGTCCTTGATATTAATTATGTTCCTGAGACATTACTCATGCTTATTACTTTAATAAAAGTTGTTGGATTCCTTAGCGGAAGGTTGTATTAAAAACTTGTACCACATTCCTCCAGGATTAGCCTATTTCTTGAAGTCTTCTAGAAAAAAGGGATGGTTTAGGGATCTGTTGGTATTGACCTTTCTACTTTGTCAGAAAAGATCATTGAAGAACAGGTATAAAAGTAAAATACTTGTGCCAGATTTCTCCAGGAAGAGCGTCCATTTGAAGCAAACTAAGACACCCTGGAATGGCGCTGTTCGAGAAAAGGTTGGTTTGAACTGCAAGGTCTGCAGTTCAAACCCACCAGCTGCTCCTCAGAAACCCTATATACAGACTTGCTATGAGTTGGAACTGACTAGATGGCACTAAACAACAACAAACCCCAAAATCTGAAATTTTGTTTTGCAAAGTTTAAATGCATTAATTTCTTCATTTCTTGTTTGGTTTTTCCAGTCCTAAATCCAGATAGGAAATTATTTGGGTTCCGGCTTTTAACCTGGTCTCTTCTTTTAGAGGAATTCCCACACACTTATCCAGACTGGAAAGGAGGTTAGCAGGACAGAGATAGAAAACATTAAGCAAAGGATGCTGCAAAGCTTTGAAAACCTTTCTGAAGAGGAAAACAGCTGCCCTGGGCTTTGACAAAGAGCATTTGCAATTTTGGGAGGAGGAAAGACCTCTGGCTCTCTTCTCTTCTGGAGGCCACAGCTTGCCAGAGTCTGTCCTTCTTAGGTGGGTACAGGACTGGATAGGGAAGGGGAGCCTGTCTCCTTTAATAACAAACGGGGCCCTCTTTGTCCTTTGAGGTGCTGAAGCTTATTGACTGAAAAACCTGCCCTCCTATCGTTGGCATTTTTCTTCGACTTCATAGAACAGTAATTTAGACAGTCTTTTTATGGCGCCACTCTGGGTATGAGAGGCTTCTCTAGGAAAACATCAAGAAGTTTCATGAATTTGGGAGAAATGATCTATTATAAAAAGATGTATAGGAGCTTCAAGATATTTCAGGCGTTAGAAGCAAACTGTCTACTTGAAAAAGGCTTGGGTTTTGAGAAATTTTTTCCCCTTTAATTTTCAAAGCCTACTACCTATCTTAATCTGAACTTCTGAACAGTAGCAGGGGAGTTGGGTTTGACAGAGATTATAATTTTTGAATAGAAAGAATTTGAAAGGTCATCTAATGCAACCATTTAGTTTTACAATTTAGGAAGGTGACTTATCAGAGGTTACAAAGAAATTAATGACAGAACACCCCTGACCTCTCACCTCAACAGCCTTGACATTGCATTGCTAAGAGTGCTAATTAGGCATGTGGACTAGGTACCAACTGGATCAAGGAAAATATAGCTCCCTGCTTCCTTTCCGTATTGTTTGAAATGTAAATATAAAAGTATTTATTCAATGGCTGAGTTACTGACTATAGTATACTGTATAAGCTATTGTATAAGGCACCGTCCCAAACACTGGAGATAAAATAACAAAGTAAACAGGGTCACTTCTTCCAAGTCCTCACAATTTGGTCTTCCTTTCCTCAGGACAGGAAGTCTTTTAGGAAGCTCAGAAAACACTTAAGGGATATTTCAGATGAAGAGCGTGCTCTTTTAAATGGGATTAAGTGCAGGGAGAAGGGGTTCAAACAGAGTGCTTTAGGAGGCCAAGAATCTGTATTTTTTGAACATGTAATTGACAGAGGACCCCCTCCCTTTCTGCCCCCAGCTCCCTTAATTACATCACTTTCAGCTGCCGCCTTTCCGGGATCTCCCCCGGCCAGACATACAGGCTGTGCTCTGGTAAGGTCAAAATGCCAACGCACAGAGACTAAGGCAGGGAATGAGAAGGAACCCATCCACCCTAAGCTCCTGTACTGGAAAAAGCCAGAGACAGAGAAGAAAAAAGACAGTAACGGAGGCTGAGTGAAATAATAAAGGAGGAATAGGGAACCCCTGACACTGTGGCGTGGCGGTCCTGGCGCCCGCGGCCGGCCGCCCCCGGGGGAGGAGCGCGCGGACTCAGCGCGGGGGACCGGCGGCCGCGGGGGCGCAGAGCAGGCGGCAGCGGCGGCGCCTCCAGTCCCGCAGCCCGGGAGAGCAGCGCAGCTCGGAGCGGGACGCGGCCGTGGGAGCCTAGCAGCGCCCGCCTCCTGCCCGCGCCGCCCGCGCCCCTCCGCCCGCGCCTTCAGTTGGGCTCCACCCCCGCGCGGCGGCGGCTCCTTCGTCCGAACCGCGCTCGGCACCAGCCCAGCCCGGGCAGCGGCCGCCACCTGCCTGCCGCCGCCCGCCCCGCAGCGGCCCAACTTGCATGGAGTTGGGGTCCTGAGCGCCTGCTTCACGCCGGTCCGCGTAGAGCCCGCACCGCCCCCTCTGGGCCGGGACCCCTCTGCATCCTCGCCGCTCCGCGATGGGAAAAGTTGGCGCCGGCGGCGGCTCCCCAGCCCGGCTGAGCGCGCTCCTTACCGGCGCGGGGCTCTTGATCCTCTGGGCCCCGGGCGTCTGCAGCGGCGATTCCTGCTGCCCCCCGCCGCACCCTGGCTCCTCTCGTCACTGGGCCCCAAATCCAGGGGGTTACCCTCCCCAGGGACTGCAAGGTAGGGCCCCTGCCACGCCCCTACCCTTCCTTAGGCGTCCCCTGTTCTTAGTGGCCCCCGGGGACAGAGCGCTTGCCCTGGAGCAAGCCGGGGGCACTGGGTTGTCGATGGAGGGTGATGCGCGCTCCGGTCGGAGGAGACGGAGCGGAGCGGATTCCGAGAAGGCTGAACGCGGAGAAGGCGCGAGTCGGAGTGCCCGGGGAGTGCTAAGGGATGGAGGGCAGCAGAAGCCAGGGACTCCGGAGCGGGATCCGGACAAAGCCACCCGCTTCCGGATGGAAGAGCTGCGACTGACCAGCACCACGTTTGCACTGACCGGCGACTCAGCACACAACCAAGCTATGGTCCATTGGTCTGGCCACAACAGCAGCGTGAGTAGAATGGGACTCCTGGTCAAGGGGTGAATGGTGGAAGGGGTTAAAGCCCTGTAGTATGATGGAAGGAGGAGGGGGAATGTGGCTCCTGGACACGAGGGATACCCTAAACCGAAGTCTTGGCTGCCCTCATTCCCCAGGAGTTATTCTTGGCTACCAGTAGACCTACCTTCACCCCAGAACCTTACTACCACCTTCCAAGTCGTATCTCGACCCTGATGAAAGATGCAAACAGCACTGAAATCCGGTTTTCTCGGTTCTGCATTAGTGTGTGAAACAGAAGATTTTGTAGTTAAAGGATTCAGGATATGGGGGCAAAAGGGTTAAATTTTCACACAGGCTGGCATTCCCTCAAGTGACTTTCCCTTTACTTGGTAGACTTACTCACCAGCTCAAATCAGATCAAGAAGACATATTTGTAGGCTTTATAGTCTGTTTTATGCAGGGCTCCTAACAACTCCTTCCCCACAGGGGAGGAGAACTGCAGTAGACAATAGGCGCCCTTAGTGTATTCCCTGTTTCTGGGGACCAAGTGGCTGCAAGTTTCAGGGCGGGAACACTCCAGCATCATCTAATAGCACTAGGGAGTGTGCTTTGAGAGCTGGGACTTTCCAGCCTGTGAATGAACGGTTGTTCTCCAGCATGAGTAGTCCCAGAAAGATCAGCTATAACCCAAGACAACAATTGCCTGTTTCCCCCATGGTCTGACCTTCTCTAGTGAATGGCATGTATAAAGACTGGCTCTCCCGTTATGGAGGGAGGAAGGTGGTCTCTGGATTACAGAATGCTGAGAGTACAAATTGAGGTGGACATCTATGCTTTCGCCAAGTCAGGGATGGTTTTCGATTTGCTACATGTCTGCAATCTGTCAGAGCCACTCCAATTTCTACTAAGCCTAGAAACTTCAAGGAGCTGAAATAGTTAAGAACCAGCTCAGATGGTGACAACTGAAGACAACGTGAAAGTGTAGAAAGTTCTCTTGGCAGATGACAAGAGCATTAAAACCAAGGCTTGGCAATTGAAGACAAATAATAAAAATAATAATAAAAGTTGGGGCTTCTATCAGGAAATCTCCTAGGACCTTCCACAGTGCTTTCAGTTGTGAGGTAACTGTCAGAAACCTTCACAGAGTTGTGCCACTTTACTGAGTTGTGCCCATTGTTAGTTTCCTTTCAATAAAAGTTGTGAACATTTAAAAAAAGATAATAGTCTATCGTTATGGATTTTCTCAGGTACAAAGACAGAAATTGTGCTAAGGAAAATCAGGATAATAGTATTTTGTGTTGATGTCTCAAGCCTGAGAGCACTGGCAGGTTTTCCTACAATTCGGCATTCATGAGAGAGACTGTGGTTTTATATGGTTCTCAGGAGTGGTTTAATCAAATAATTGAAGTAGAAATTCCTTCCATTCAAGTTCTAGGGACCTTTGCCCTTATTCCCTACCTTAACTATCATATCTTTCATATCATAACCATGAATATTAAGCCTCCAATTTGAGCCTGAATCTTCTTTAACTGATTGAATAACTTTCTCATTGCTTTCAGTGATTAACTTAAAGCTTCTGGCTTTAAAAGGAGATTTTAAACACATCAAATATGTTAGATCTTCTTATATTCAGAAGCAAAGGACCTTGGACTCAAAATATTCTGGCTTTTAATATAATTCAGACTGTAAAATATCACTCACCCGTTAGACCTCTGCTGTAGTTCATCATCTCTTAAAAGATCTTGGAAAGAGTGAGAAAAAGAGAGTACATCTTTGGCAAATTTGAAACTCCTTTTAAGAAATGGCGCCAGATCCAGTGAGGTCTTTCTCCCTCTCCTCTTCTCCCCCACCCCCAGTGGTGTTTATAATCCCAGTGGGGTTTACTGGGACCAGGGTGAAATACAAGGAAATCAGAGACAGTGCTGGGCATAACCAAGAAGGTGAATGCACAAGGTAAGAGCACCCAAATCATGTGAACTAATGAAATCGACACTCTCTAAACTCTCACATTACTTAAGGAGACCCCCTGGCGCTTTCCACATTCACACACATCCCCCCCCCCCCAGTATATACATATAGATTGTGGAAGAAGAGAGACCATCTTTATCCTGGTCCTCCAAAGCTGACCCTATTTATAGGTCCAGGGTGCATAGGAGACACAAAGTTAAAAATATTTTTAAATGAAGGGGAGGCAGAAAGAAACTTGTTGTAATTCTGTGGCATGAAAAAACTGAGTGGAGATCTGAGTTCTAGGTCTACTGATGTGTGGGTGACCTTGTCAAGTGGATCACACTGGGAGTGTGAATTTCTTCACCTCTCAAGCTTGTCTGATTAATTACAGAGAATTTCATGCCAAGATGTACATAAAAGGTACAGTTTGACTGTAAAGTTCAGCGCACCTGTGTAACTCTCATTCCAGGGCACTCTACTTTTCCCCAGAGCAGGAAATCAGCTCATCTACACCTGAAGACATGATTGGGGGCTCTCACCTTGCCATTTTATAAACATCCTCCTTCATAAAGCTATGGGCCATCCCCTTGATGCCACAGGCAACTCCCAGCCTCTGGATTTGCCCCACCTTTAGCTGAAGGGCCACTGATTACAATCATACCTGCATTAAAGGTGCAAATGTATGGTAATTAGAGCCTGCCTGTCAAGCTTCTGAGGGATTCTAGATAGTTCTCTCACTTCCTGTGGTTCTCTTTCCTGCCCCCTCCATGGTTGGACTTGTGCAGTTGTGTAAAGACATGACTTCCTACCTCAGCCGTGGGTGTGCTGTGATTCCTCTATTCTGCAGTCTTCTTGATGGAAACCGTTGGTGGAACACCTGGGGGGATCTTTTGGCATGAAAGGTGCTGGCTATGAATCATTTGTCATGAGCCTGGTGTCATATGCAAGAACATATTGTTCCTACCCTACTCATCTGAGACATGCTGTGCTCTGGTCTAAATTTATGTAGTAATCTTAGTGTGTTAAAAAATATAGATTTGTTTGTGTGTGTGTGTGTGTTTGTGTGTGATATGTGCATGTTTATTCCTTTATTTCCAAGAAATTTCTAAATGCTATGCACATTAATCCTTTAAAATACTTGTTGGTAGGTTGCAAGTGTTAATAACTCTTTATGTATATATTTTTTGCTGGAGTTAATTTGAAGAATTCAGTTGATTACTCTGTCCCATTCTCACTGGCAATAGCTTTATAAGAATTGTTAATAGAAACTTTAACTTACATTTTGCCACTCTTAGCTTTGTTGTTGTTGTTGTTAAGTGTCTTCGAGTCGGTTCCGACCCATAGCGACCCTGAACAGGGTTTCCGAGGCTGTAAATCTTTACAGGAGCAGAAAGCCTCATCTTTCTCCCGTGGAGCAGCTGGTAGTTTCGAACTGCTGACCTTAAGGTTCGCAGCCCCATTCATAATCACTACGCTTATTAAAGAGCATGGGGGTCTGATGGATTTCAGTGGATTTCTTTGCCTTTAGGTGTTCTGAGACTTGACACTTGCCATCAACTTTGGTGACTAACCTGAGTCCCAGTCTGTGCTGAGTTTTCCGATAAATGCCTTACATTTGTCATATTACTTAATTTTGTTGTGACTAGTATTATGAAAGGGAGTCCTCGTAGTATAGCGGGTTATGCATGGGGCTTCTAAACTCAAGGTCACAAGTTCAAATCCACCATCCACTCCATGGGAGAAACATAAAGATATCTGCTTCCGTAAAGATTCGGAAACCCTATACAGGTACGCATTGAGTCAGAACTCACTTTCCAGCACACAGCAGCAGCAGTATTATGAAGTCCTGGTGTAGCACTGTAGGATAAGCACTGGACTTCTAACTGCGATGTGAGTTGTTGTGAGTTGGAACCCATTCGATGGCATGTAATAAGGACAGCACAGCAACAGCAGTGTTCTAATGCAGAGCCCTGATAATGCAGTGGGTAGGGTCTCAACTGCTAACTGGGAGGATGGCCGTTCTAATCCACTAGCTGCTGCTGTGTAGGAGAAAGATGTGGCAGTCTGGTTCCCTAAAGATTTACAGCGTCAGAAACCCGATAAGACAGTTCTTTGTGATCAGGAGGGTCACTGTGAGTCAGAATGGGTTCCACTACAGTATCTATGGGTAGTATTATCATTCCTGTTACACAGAGGAGGAAACTGAAGCTCCACTAAGCTACATAATTTGCCAAGAGGATGTAGGAGGTCAGTGGCAAAGCAGAGGATAGAACTCAGAGAGATCTGTATAGAATAACTTGTCCTATAGACTTTCAGGTTGTTGTTGTTAAGTGTTGTCTAGTTGGTTCCAATCCACAGCAACACTGTATAGGGTTTCAGAGGAGTGGCTGGTGGGTTTGAACTGCTTACCTTGGGGTTCAAACTAACCTTGCAGTCCAGTGCATTATCGTGTAGCAAAACCACATCAGGACTCCATAGACTTTTAGGTAGAACAGAAAATTCAGACCTTTTGGCATCTGTATTTCAAATACTTCTATCTTGGGTGGATTTCAGAACATGGTGGGAGGAGTGTATATGGTTAGCTGGAAACTTCATCTCTCTATAGTCAAGAAAGGACTTTTGTGCCTGTCACATGCACGCCTTACCTTAAGTAGTGATTTAGTTGTTCTGTTTCCCACCCACTTCTTCATCTTTTAGGAGACATGGAATCTGCACCAGGTGATTCATTGAGCGTGAGGTAACCTGCAATCATTCAGCTTTCAGATCTGTTGTTCTTCAGTAATAGATTCTTTTTCTGTGGTAACAGCAAATTCTGATTGTATAGAGAGATTGGATATGAACACGACTTGATATATTTTAATTTTTTTTTTTTAAGTAAAATGCTTAAAGATTTTAGCAAGCCCACATAATTACTTCTCTGATCTGTTGTTTCATGCTATTAACCAAAGCAAACTGTGCTGTGGCAGGAGGAAAGAAGCAGGTTGGGAAACAGATATTTAAGTTCCTATCATAGCTTTCCTGCTGACCAGCATGCGACTTGGAGCATCATAGTTAGTACTGTT